ATGTGGCTACAATTATCTGCAGGGTGGTGGGAAATAGAGGTGTGTGTCCAAGGGGAAAAAGAAGAGGTTTGGTGAGCAGCTGGTCAAACTGCCGTTTGCCATTTTTTCAAACCAGACTGCAGTGCCACAAGAGCCGTCCAACTTTTTTGTTATTGTAACAAATGTGGTGTCTGATGTCACTTTGGTGTCTGATGTCACTTGAAATAAATAGGACGTGTAATTCTTTTTCTACCTATATTTTAATTTTAACAGAAGTATTAGTACTTAACCCATATTATATAAAACAAATAAGAAACAAGACATTCTTTGAAGAATTATCATAATGTTTTTAGTATGGGGCAAAATATGAATAGATATAAATTAGGTTTTTTATTCAAAACACTGAGAGTGCAGATATTATCGTTAGAGAGGAGATACTATATAGAAACAATAACTAGAGATTGTGAAAGCTACCTAGAATAGCAATTTTTGAACATAGTAGATTATAAGATATTTAATGACAAAGTTTTGATAATTTTACCATCTTTCCAAATTACTGAAATATTGATCAGTGCTGATATAATCTGAAAGTCTTCTCACATCTTTCTGCAGAGTTGACACATTTAAATAACCCTCCCAGCTTAGATAAGGTGGCAAAATATTTAAAATTAAGGATATTATATATGCTTCACAGGTCTAACTCTTAACATTCTTCTAAAAGAAAAGCAAGCAACTTTTATTATTATTTTTTTCTTAAACAAGAATTTCTATTCTGGACAAAACTTTTGATAATTGTGTTCTTACTAATGAAACCTTAGCCATTGCAGATATTTCTAGTAGTTGTGGAAACAAACATAATTCTTTTGGGAGCAACCACGAGATGTATAAGACGGTTAGATGGCCAACAGAAGGGAAGGAGAGAGAAAGGAAAGAGAGAGAAGGAAAATTGATCTAAGTATTTTGACTGAAAGGTCAACTTTATATCTAGGAAATGCCCATATACATGAAATAATATTAGCAGATTGTTTGTAAGGCGCTATTTATAATTTGGGGCAATGGATAACTTCTTATAAGTACAAAGAAGACTTTAGGGCTTAAATCACAAAGTCAGAGCATATTAGAATAATAGAAGGATTCTCAGGAGCCATCTAACCAAATTCTGTCTATTATTATGTGATACACTGGGCATTAGTAACTATGAGAAAATATTTAGCTGAAGTTAATAAACTAATGATGAACACAACAGTGCTGTTCATTTGTACTAAAGGATTTTATCCCCATATTCACTTCGGGCAGCACAATTTACTGTGCACTTATGGCTAACCTGTTAACTCATATACAATGGCTGATATGCACACTGTATTCTAGCCAAGGAGCTCCTTGAAGGCATCCATATCTTTCCCATTTTTGTAACAGAGAAAAGAGTAGGTTCTAAGAAAACGTCCATGGCACTAAACCACAGCAAATGGATATAGTTGATATTGAGAAACCTTCATCACCTCAGTGGCTCTGTTCTGCCTACTGCTGTTTCAGTTTCCAGACTTGCTGTGTTGAGGACCATCTCTTAGGTTTCTTTCTTGCCACTAGAGGGCATGAAATGCTTTGCAAAGGGAAAACAACCCCACTAATTGTTTTAGCTATTATTAAACTCTCCCCCATCCCAATAATTGACTTTACCATAAGAAAATCAAAGCTATTCCAAATTCTAAGCCCTTTAGAAAAATGATTGCATTCTTCATGTTCACAAACATCTTTGCTTTATTGATGTTTGGGTCAAGTTGATTCATTTGGATTGTCGTGATGTCCATGCCTTTTGCTACAGAGGAAGCCTCCTGATTCATTCACATAAAAATTGCTTCCACTTAAAATATATTACAAACAGCAACACCATAAAAATGCAGTTGCAGCATACTTGTATTTATGAGGCATCCAAAAGGCCTCCTTGCATTTTTATTTTGGTTGGCCTTTAATTGAATAAAAGTCCACTTCCAGAAGCTAACGTGAAATCCACACATATCCTTAACCTTTTTAATAATCAGATTAGATCTCCTGAGTCCACGGTGTTTTTGCTGACCAATGCAGATTACTCAAAACTTGGGTTGTGCTTTGCTTTTTATATTTTCTCCTCATTTTTAAATTGCAGTCCCTTCCAGTGTGAGTGGCGTCACGGTGAACAATTCTGGTCGTAATGACTACCTCAGCATATCCTGGCTGCCGGCTCCTGGAGATGTGGATAACTATGTGGTGACACTCCATCATGACAGCAAGGTGGTCCAGTCCCTTGTTATTGCCAAGTCTATCAGCGAATGTTCCTTCAGCTCCCTCACTCCAGGCCGCCTCTACAATGTGACCATAACTACAAGGAGTGGCAAGTATGAAAGTCATGCCTTCAGCCAAGAGCGGACAGGTAAGGCTCTATGGGTTGCGGGTGGAGAAGAAGATGGGGGACAACCTCCATAAGTACCAGCTGGCTTTGAGGCTCAGGGAATCATTGATCTACAGTGATTCTGTAATGATAGAATTAAAGGCTATTGACATTACAAAATTGTCATGGGAGTCATCATATTTTGACCCAAGACACTCCTTATGTGTATAAATGTTACCTTTAATAAGATAGATAGCACTTTCATAGCCAAAATTTATGTTATGGTCAGATAACAGTAAGAAATAACTTGTCGGGCCTCCCTGGTGGCGCAGGCCGTTGAGTGCAGCACTGTGAAGCTGTCCGCAGCCTCTGCAGCACGGGTTCTATCCCGGCTGGCCGGTGAGAATCCCATATGGAGAAGCAGACCTCTTCTGTCTCGCCCGCTGCTCCCCTCAGCAGTGTATTTCTTCAGTCTGCCTGTTCTTTTCCCCACTCTGTCCCTGGTGAATCCTCTCAACCTCCCACACCTCTGGCCTATACCCTGGCTCTTGTATAAATAAATCTTAAAAAAAATTAAAAAGAAAAAAAGAAATAACTTGTCTTAGGAAATAATTTTCCTGGCTTTACATATGTTAGCTAACTAACTTAATCCTATAACCACCTTATTGAGGTGGTAGTTGATATTATTTCCATTTTACATATCACAAAAAATGCAGCTTAGATGTCAAATCAAAAAATCAAGGTTCAGTGAGATTAAACTTTTTAAACAATCTAGATTGAAACCCAGTTCTGAATGACTCCAGAGCCTGCAAAATGAAAAATAGTATGGAGGTTACTCAAAATATTAAAAATAGATCTACCATATAAGCCAACAATTCCACTCCTAGATATCTACCTGAAGAATGCAAAACACTAATTTGAAGGGACATCTGCACTCCTCTGTCATTGCGGCACTATTACAATAGCCAATTTATGAAAACAACCTAAGTACCCAAAGACGGATGAGTGGATTAAGAAAATATACACACATACACACATACACAGACACACAATGGAAAAAACTCAGCTAAAAAACAGAGATAAACTCTTCCATTTTGTGACAACATGGAATTCAAAATAAGTCAGAAGGAGAAAGAAAAATACCAGATGGTTTCATTTATATGTGGAATAAGAGAAACAAAACAAAGCGTCAGACGAAACCAAACCAATAACAAACCTTAGAAACCTAACTGTAGAATTTCGGCAACCAGAGAAGGAGGGAGCAAAATGATCTGTAGTGAAGGACTATTGTTATGTTGGTAGTGGGATTGGTGTGGTAACATACATCTGAAGGGTATGCTCCTACACCTCTAAATCATAAATATGGTTATAAAGCAATGTTATCTCAATTAAAAAATAGTAAAAGAAAAAAATCAGTTTTTCCATGTAATCTGGAATAGTTGACATTATCCAATTACCTACCACAGGGTCTGGAGCCCAGTAGACAATAAATGTCTGGTGAGTGAATAATCAGAAATCACTTAGATCAGGGGTTTTCACCTGGTGGTCCACAGGTAGACTTTAGAAATGTGGTAACCCCAGAAATTGTCCATTTAGTTGTTGGGGTTAAAGAAGTATGTGCATTTCTTTGGGAGGAGACATCATGACTTTTATCAGATTTTCATAGTTTCTATAACCTCAGAAAATTAAGATCCACTGACTAGCATGGATACAGCATGCTAGCACTGAAAATTTCCATAGAAAGATCTAATCACATCTCCTCCCTTGAAGTTACGGTCCCAGAGAGAAACTTGGCTTCTCTAAGGTCACATGGCTGACCAGTACTCCAGCTCACCCTAACTCCAGTGCTATTCCATTCCATCACCCTATCTATCCCTGAAAGTACTACTCTGCAAATTCCCTAAACTCAAATAATTTAAAGTCTAGTTATACTGATAATTACAATAATGACTTAAACCTGAAAAACAGATGGCCACTTACACAGCAGCTTTACATCACTGCCTCACATTGCTCAACATGGAACCTAAACATCACCGGAAACTAAAGGCTATGTCATCTAACAACTCCCCACTGCTTCTGCTTGGGGTCATTTTTTTAATATTTCCTTTCCATATGGCTTTCCTATTTCCAGGACTTTTACTAGGCTGGTTTTTAAATACAAGAAATGTGATCCATTATTCAAAGCAACCTCTGGACCCTTTACCAGCATGAACTTGCATCTAGGACATGACTAAAGGCAGGCCATTACTTCCAACAAATCAGCTTAACTGGGGAGTCATGTCTGAGTTGTTGCCTTGCTGATTTGGACTGATTGTCTTAATTCCCTTTCCCTTTTCTAACGGTTTTCTATATTTTGGGTGATAATGTCAATATTTCTAATTCTGTGTCACATCATCTCACCGTGCAGCAAGGCAAGTTTCACAGATAACCTCCAGTTCTACCTGGAGAGCCCCTTATTGACTTATCATGGTATTCAGCTGGTTTTACTTCTTGTAATAGTTACTTTGACTTCAGTAAATGAACTTGATCATCAACCTTTCTTAGCCCATGCATACAACACTTCAGAATTTCTTCCCTTAACTCTGTGATGACTAAATTTTTGCAATACTGTAGTGGTTCAGATAAATATCTTGAAGAAAACATACCTGTCCTTGTTTCCTGTGTGTGGTGAGATATATTCCAATATAAAAACTAACCAGCACGTATAAGTCAATGAGGGATATTGGTGCAATCTGTAGGTATGAGAAGCATCATGAGAAATGAAACTTAGATGCCAACATATTAAAATTTCTGCATCATTTCATGCTTTGGGGGAAGATGGAAAAATAGAGTTGGAAACAGGCTTTGTCCAGTCGATTGATTGATTGATTGATTGATTGAGAGAAAAACCACAGGGACATAAAATTATTTATATATTTCTCTGGGGACTTTCAGGTAACACAAATTGGGTTAACCATAATTCTTGGCTCAGGAAACCATGCAGCAGTTGCCAACTTTATTTATACTTAGACACTTAATTTAGGTGTTTAATTAACAATTATTAATAATTTAATATATGCATGAGAAACCATCACCCAAAATAAAAGCTAAGACCTTAACGGCAAGCTACATCAAATCATGAAGTTCCCAGTCCACTAAGCCACCATCATCTTGATTTCTGTTTTTCTCTCTTGTTTTCCTTCTCGAGTCATTTTATTATTCGTGTATTTCTGAAATTTTAAACTTTTAGTTGTTTTAACGTCAATTTTTGAAAAGGTAATTTTTGGGTTATGGATCATGACACTTCATCAAAGACATATAGATGACTAATAGGCACACAAAAAGATGTTCATCATCTGTTATTACTAGAGAAATGTCAACCAAAACAACAACGAGGTATCACCTCACACCCATGAGAATGGCTGTTGTACAAAAGACCAGGAAAATAATTATTGGAGAGGAGAGAAGAATACTTGTGCACCACTTCTGGGAATGTAAATTGGTGCTACCATGTGGAAAGCAGTGTGCAGAGTCCTCAAAAAAATAAAAATAGAAATTCCAGGGGCCTCCCTGGTAGCACAGGGGGTTAAGCATCAGCACTATGAGGCAATCTGCAGCTTCTGCAGCACAAGTTCAATCTCCTGCCAGGGAGCTGACCCACATGGTGCAGCAGACCTCTCCTGACTCACCTGCTGCTTCCCTCAGCAGTGTATTTTAGTACATCTGTCTATTCTGTTCCCCTCTCTGTCTCTGGTGAATCCTCTCACCCCCGTCCCCCCACCTCTGGCCTTTACCCCAGTTCTTGTATGCACAAATAAATAAATATTTTAAAAATAGAAATTCCATATGATACAGTTATCCCACTTCTCTGGGATAACTCAAAAAACACAAAAACACTAATTTGAAGTGATACATGCACCTCCTGTTTATTGTAGATCAGAACTATATACAATAGCTAAGAACTGAGAACAATCTAAGTGCCCGTCAACTGACAAGTAGACAAAGAAGATGTGGTTTATATACACAAAGGATTCTTGTGATATTCAATAAAGATGATTTCACTCATATGTAGTACATAGAGAAAACAAACAAACAGATCAAGCAAAAACAAACTTTTGGACTGTAAGACCAATTAGTGATTGTTACCAGAAAGGAAGGGAGAAAGGAGTGGCCTAATCCGGGAAAAGGAATCAATCCTATGATGAAGAAATAGATTTGGATTTTTGGTGGTGATCTTAATGTAGTATATGTACATGTTGATATTCAACAATGAACACTTGTATGTTGTAATGCAATGTGGCCTCAATTTTTAAAAAGTAACTAAAAGTAACTAAATACAAAAACACAAATGTATTATCCTACCCAAAAAGGGGCATTGTTATGCAATATGTAATCTTTTGGGACTGAGATTTTTTACTTACTATTACATTGAAAAGTTTCATCCGTATTTTGTGTTTTGATGTTAAGAGCAGATATCCATATTTTTAGCTTTGACTTTAGAAATTGATTACTACTGCTATGTAATATTTCAATGTGTGTATGTTCCAGTTAATTCATCCAATCTCCTGTGAATGGCATCTTCTCTCATGCTTGATTTTATCAGGTTTTTAAATGTTGCAATCAACTGGATGTAAAATGTTTAGCGTATCCTGGTTTTGACTTGAATTACTTTAATGTTAATGATGTTAGATATCAGGTCATATATGAATTAGCCATGTGTTTGCCCTTCCATTTTTCTTTCGGATTGTTTGTATTTTCTTTGGTAACTTTTTGTTACATCTTGAGTCACCAGCATATGCTGAAATTATGAATATCATTCCAATCATTCATATTAATCATCAGTTATCATATTTAATGTTCCATCTAACACATGGCATTTTATGTAGGCAAACAACAGGATTAGAACTAATTCATCAGGTTCTGTTAAAAGATCTATTTAATGACTCCAAGTAATAGAACAGTCTTTCCCCTCCAGAAATTTGTGATTACAGGTCTAAGATTTTTTTCTTTAAATGCTCATGATAAAAACCTACTTGCTTCCCCATATACCCCAAGTTGGTACCTGTAATCAATTGCTCACTCAGAATTTCTAACTCTTTCACCATCCTCTGCTTTCTTTTTCAGTGCCTGACAAGGTCCATGGGGTCAGTATTAGCAACTCAGCCAGGAGTGACTATTTAAAGGTATCCTGGCTGCACGCCACTGGAGACTTTGATCACTATGAAGTCACCATTAAAAACAAAAACAACTTCATTAAAACCAAAAGCATCCCGAAGTCTGAAAATGAATGTGTATTTCTTAAACTAGTTCCTGGACGATTGTATAGTGTCACAGTTAGTACAAAAAGTGGACAATATGAAGCCAGTGAACAAGGAAATGGGAGAACAAGTAAGTGGGAAAATTGCAAAATCTAATGATTAGTTGGGACTTGAAAGTCACTGAATAAATAATTTCTTTGAATCGCAAATTTCCTCTATTTACTGATTAGTAAATTACAATCCCAGTAAGTCTCACTTGGAGTGATGGCTACTAACTACAAAATATGTATTGGTAGGGCCTCCCCGGTGGCGCAGCGGTTGAGCGCTGGGTTGCGAAGCTGCGCGCGGCCTCTGCGGCGCCGGTTCGATCCCCGGCTGCTCCCCGGCCACCGCAGGAGGGTCCCACATGGCGCGCAGACCTCTCCTGCCGCCCGCTGCTCCCCTCAGCAGTGTACTTCGGTCCTTCTGCCTGCTCTGCTCCCCGCTCTGGCTCTGGTGAATTCTCTCGCCCTCCCGCGCTTCTGACTGTACCCAGTGCATGTATAAACAAAACAAACAAAGAAACCAGCAAACAAATAAATAAAGCATGCCTCTATAAAAAAAAAAAAAATATGTATTGGTAAATAAGAGCACACATTGTGGGTGAGTAAGAAGTCCAAGTATCCTATTTCTTTTATTTTTTGTTATGACAATTTTATTGAGATATAATTCACACATCATAGATTTTACCCATTTTATATCTAAAACTCAACAAATTTTAGTGCATCTGCCCCACAGTCAATTTTATTTTTTTAATTTTTTTTACTTTTCCTTTTTTTAATTTTTTTTTAAAAATATTTGTCTCCCTCCACCCCCTCAGATTGAGTCCCCATAGAATTTCCTTCCCCAATCATGCTTGCCCTTCTGCATTATAGCATTTAAAGTTCTAGACATCTTGTTTCATCTTAAGATTGAGATCATAGTTCATTTTATAATTAGAGTCTACCAACATCTAGCACATAAGATTTATGTCAGGAAAAAAATTACAGTCTTAATAGTCGCTTCCAATTTTTCTTGTTTAATTATGCAGGAAGCAATTCAAGTGGTTTATTTGGGGAAAAGAGCTGTTTGCCAGTTCTTTGAGTGTGATTCATAAATTATTGTCTAGGTAAAGTCTGATCAGTTACTTTCCTGAAATGTCTTCTCATATTTCCCCCCTAGTCCCAGAGCCTGTGAAGAATCTAACATTGCGAAATAGGAGCACTGAGGACCTTCAGGTGACTTGGTCACGAGCTGATGGGGACATTGACCAGTATGAGATCCAACTGCTCTTCAATGATATGAAAGTATTTCCTCCTTTTCACCTTGAAAATACTGCGACTGAGTATGGTTTCACCTCCCTCACACCCGGGCGCCAGTATAAAATTCTCGTCCTCACCATCAGTGGAGATGTCCAGCGCTCGGCCTTCATCGAGGGCTTCACGGGTAATGTGAAATATGGTCCTAGAATTTGAGTAGATATAGGGGTGTTGGATAGTCAGGACTTATGTTTGAAGATTTGGAGGTGTAATGGGGACGGCAAGAAGGAAGAAAGTTACCTGGATGGTGACAATGATATTGTTCAAGCGGATTAACAAAAAGTATGATGTAAGGAAAGGGAAAAAAAAAAAGCTTTCAAAGAAATAGCATTGAGTTGATGTGAATAGATGGTGTTTGTGAGGCATATAGATTAAGTATAAACAGCTCTGTTGGTTGGGCATCACTGCTTCAAAACTCTATTAGGAGTGTCATTTAGATCATTACTACTTACTGCCAGTAGATCATTACTACTTATCTACCATGAATCAGACCCAGAGCAAAGTACTTTACATGCACATTTTGTTCCCTCACAACTCCATGGACTGGTTATTATTGATAGTTATTGTTATCATTGCCATTATTCTGATGAAGAAACTGAAAAGAGGGTCAGTAATTTACCTATGATAGTCCTACAGCTTTTGAAAGAGAAAACCAAGATTGACCAAGGCAATCTAATCAGACCCTCACTGTATTGCAGCCATTCTTCATTTCTACTCACTAGTCTTGGATGCTTTTCTAAATTTCTTCCATCAACTTCAGTTTAGACAGAAAAGTCAGAGAAAAGTGATCAATTACTATCATTCTTCATATGTATTCTTTTAGTGGATGCCAAAACATAAGAAGCACGAAAACTCTGGTTGAAAATTTCCATAGTTCATTTTCTCTTAGTGATAGCTTTCAAATTTATTTTCTCTTTCAGTTCCTAGTACTGTCAAAAATATTCACATTTCTCCCAATGGAGCTACAGACAGCCTGACAGTGAACTGGTCTCCTGGAGGGGGAGATGTTGATTCCTACACTGTGTCAGCGTTCAGGCAAAATCAGAAGATCGATTCTCAGACTATCCCCAAGCACGTCTCTGAACACACGTTCCACAGACTGGAGGCTGGAGAACAGTACCAGATTGTGATTGCCTCTGTCAGTGGGTCCTTGAGCAA